CTTCAGCTTCAATCTTGGAAACTTGGATCCTTCCTTCATACACAAATCAGAGTAGAAGCATAGCTTGTTACATATAAGGTTACTGTCAACTGCAAAATATAATTTAGAGGAATATTCAAGTAACCACTTGTTTCCCCATACATGCCAAACCTCTCACATCCTTAAGGCAAATGGCTGCAACCTTGGTGAAATGCCATCTCCTCTGCCAGGTGCAATAGTAGCAAATTTGGGATAGGTTTCCAATGCCAAAAAGGCAGATTTGTCCACATGGACAATCTTGCCCCGACAGCCTGACATTATTGTGATCTGACCTTGCTTAGATATGCACTTTGCTTTGCTTGTCCTGCTCCTTTCCCTCACAGATCCTGAGCAATACAGTACCAAGCTCACTATCAAAAGTCTTGTTTTATGACAGCAGAGGAGGGAGGAAATGGCACACAACAGAAACTACAGCGTGTATAATTTTAGCTTGCCTCTGTTTCTGACAGAATAACTTCAAAGGCAGCAAAAAAGTTGCAGTCTGCTCCCATTAAAATGCATGAGTTTCCCCACAACTTCAATAGGGGGACCTTACGTTACAAAAAGCATACATCACTGAATTCAGACAAAATATATGTAAGAGACAGAGTTGTGACAAAGGGGATGTCTTCAACACATCAGTGCTGTAGAGGTACATAGAGACTTAGACAATCTCCATCCTATTTTGCAGGACTGTAAAAACCCAGAAGAGCACATCCACAACAGGAATAAAAGGTAAAAGACAAGGAGGGAAACCCCTATGACTTACTGAGGTCAGTACTCACTGTTCAGCTCCATTTGGCCTAGCTGCCTTTCCCTTAGAAGAACAAAAGCACAGCTGTGTAGGCAACACTTGCTTTTTTAACACCTAAGTACCTGTTCCTACATATGATCCAATGCTTAGGGATCAACTATCACATGCATGTACAAAGGAGAAATGAAACCGGAAACACTTTCCACTACATACACTTGTATCCCATCTCATATACGCTGGGAGCCATCATGTCACTACAGCCTGCAAGGCATTTCAAAGGCCCCCACCTGCAGCCAGTGAAACACATGGGGCAGAAAACAAGTTTAACCACACAACTAAAGAGAAGCACAGGACTTGTGAAGTTTTGAAGGAGTATGATCACTATTGTGACAAAGAGTGTGACTTACTACTAAACAGCTTTCCAGCTGTAAGACCTGAAAATAATTAACTAAATAAAACCTGAAATGAAGGCAAATCAAGCTTGAACATGCCTTAAAAACGGGAGAAAGTTGAATGTGGCCTCTGAATTAATCAAACAATGCTGGGACAGGAGGGAAAGGAACCACAATCAATATGATAAACACACTTTAAAACATGAATATAAAACTAAGGTTTGCTACTGTCAGACATTAAGATGCCATGAATTCACATGTACAAATCACCTTTTCCATATTAAGATCGTTGTTAAATTGCCACTTTAAAAGCAGGAGGCACTGCACAGAGGACAGAAGACACTATCATAGAATCACAGAATGGTTTGGGTTAGAAGGGACCTTAAAGATCATCCGGTTCCAACCACCTTGCCATGGGCAGGAATACCTTCAACTAGACGAGGTTGCTCAAAGCCCCATCCAGCCTGGCCTTCCAACACTGCCAGAGAGAGGGCAGCCACAACTTCTTGGGGCAACCTGTTTCAGTGTTTCACCACCCTCACAGTAAAGAATTTCTTCCTAATATCTAATCTAAATCTACCCTCTTTCAGTTTGACCCAGGATCATTGACTCAAGATGAAAGCCACTAAGAATATCAAGACTTTTTAATAAGACAAGTCTAAACGATTTAAATAGCACTTAAATGAGAATCAATGCCTCTACCATTTTATTATTTATCCCTCTTACACTCTCATTAATGCCAGTCACTTTCCAGCCACAATAGCTTTGTGACCAAGGCCATCTACTGGTAAGTGGAGTGTGCAAATTGATGTGTTTTTTGTTGGCCAGATGTCATTGGTGGTTGTCAAGATTTAGACAGATGCATGGAAATTGTGCCAAGCAGCTGTCAGCAAACATGACCACAGTTTCAGATTACCAAATAAATAAATAAACTAAACTCCACATCAATCTAAAGAAATGTGATTTTGCCCAGGGGAAAAGAATGTGGTATTTTGAATCTCCATCCCTAGTTCAAGCATAGATGACATCTTGTTACCTCACTGTTCTGTGTAAAATGTATCAGAAATGTCAGTGTTGCTACCAGAGATACAAATTTTAACCTAAAAACCACGACCAAACCCAGTAACACTGTTTTCAGGAATTACTGGGGTCTGAATGAAGAAATTTGCAGGCTAAATTTATAGGCTGTACATCATAATTACCATTGTACTTGTCCCTGGCTTAAAGCAACAGAAACGGAAGTCAGGCAAGAAGATGGAGGGGGAATGAAACACACACCAAATCCTAACACACTGTGATTTCTAAGGTGATATCTGAGACAAATCAGCAAGCGAATTTGGGAGCGCTAGCATGCTGCAACACAGAGATCCCCACATTGTTCTACTGTTCCCTCTTCCGTATCATTATTCCCAAATCATGAAGATGTTTCTAATAAAAACTTCCTTTAGCTCTTTTTTAAAAATGCTATAATGCTTAAGTCAGTATTATGAGTTTTAGAGTAAAATGTTTGAATTGCAGCACTGGAAATCCCCAAATTACAAGACAAAATCCCCCTCCATCTTTGTTTTTGATCAAGATGAAGCAAACTTAACCCTCGACTCATCCTTTTTGCATGAGAATTTCAGACAACCTTGATAGCATATAGAAACGTATTCACTAGGAGCTCACTTGAAGAGACTAAATAAATTTCTTTTCTTAGATAACAGGAGGTTTGAGTAGATACTTTTGGCTGGAAACATAGAAACCAGAAGTTCCTGATTTGCCTGAACAGGCAACATGGAAGAGAAGCATTTCCACAAGAGAAAACATGGATGCCATAAGATGACAAATGCCCCTCACTGACATTCATTTCAGTTTGATTAATTGCTACAATGATCAGATTCATGCCAGAGAGTTTATGGATGGCAGGTAAAAAGGAGACAAAGCTTCCTGTAAACTAAAGGTATACATTTGTTCATTCCTTCCAAGTCGGGTTTGGGTTGTTTTGTGGGGATTTTTTTGGGTGCGGTGGGGGTGTGTGTTTTTTTCCTGAAGTCACTATTAGACCATAAACCCAGTTTAATTACACTAGTTTCATTCACTGTGGAAGCAAACCACTTTCCAGTACAGTAAGCTTAGTAATTTATGTGCCTTTCTGATTTATTTATGGTGCAATAAGGCCAAGGATAGTTCTGCATCTGATGGAGATTTGTAGTCTCTAGGATCATTTTTAAAATGAAGATTAGAGGAGGAAAAAACAACCAAACATCCAACAGCTGCTCCCCACCCCACAAGAGAAACACAACCTTGAAAGAATAACATAGTGCATGTAAATGTCTAATGAACTCTTTCTTCAGCAAAACTGTGTTATCATCCATTTGGAGCATGTTCCTAACAAGTCACCATTTTATAGTGAACAAATCAAAACAAATCTTTTCATTATTAATCATACAAAAGGGTCTACCCTGCCTTTGCTTCCAAAAATCTAGCACTCACTACTAAAAGGGTAATCCCTTATCAGTCATGACATAGAATCCCATTCTGATATAACCAAACAAAAATGATATAAATAAAGTAACCCAAATTAAAAATTAAGATATACCAGCATTTCTAGATAGCCCTCTGTTACTTAAACGTGCAAGCAGACACGCCTGAATATAGATGGCTTCATTGGCTGTTGTCTTCTTTTGCTCCATAATAATTTCTTTCAGAAGTGCATCTGCACACTTCACAAGCGTTCTGCTTGTTTCTTCACAAGTGTTCTGCTTGTTTCTCCTGTTACAATGTCAAATACATCTGATTTCAGCTTCTTGCAGCACATAGTTCAGTGGCCAAACCGGACATGCTACCATTTAGCATCACTCCAGCAAATGGCCCACAAAATAATAAACATTTTTTGCTTTGCCGCAAACTTTTCCGGATTCACTGCATACAAAATGGCTATGTATAATTTTAAATACAGAATTTTGTTTGTCCCCTGAAGACAAGCCTCTCTGTCATCATTGATCTTTGTCCAGAGGACAAATCACAAACTCCATTATAAAGCCAGGCTGCTGCTGCTAAGGCAGGAAAAAATACCATGATTCTTTTGTCAAGATCTGACAAAAACCTTGTCAATGAACTTTAAACATTCTTCTCATTAAATCACTGTATCAAAAGAGCTGAACTATGGAAAATTTAATTTATACCTTTCAATCACAGCTACAGTGAATCAAAAGAATTATACTTTACACTTTCAAAATACTGCATGAATCTCTACAACAAGCCTGGGTAGACAGTTAGCTTTAAAGTTGAGACAGGGGATAAAAAACACTGTTAGGATGACCTCCTGTTGATCTGCATAAAAAAACTTCAAGCTACTTACACCAGGACTTTCATGTTCCAGAAACAGAGATAATCTGTGAATGGGGAAACTGCTCAGCTGCAACATCTAATTTTAATGATTTGCTCATTTCTTCAACAAGCATTTTAAAGGGCTTCATTTAGCTTCACTGTCAGGTCCTCTTTTAAATTCATATTTTCAATTGATTTTTCTTTCATAAACCTCTAAACTTGGAATTGCCTGTATGTTACTGAATTGAAAGGAATGCTGGTTTTATTTTTATATATACACACACACCCCCCCCTTTGATCCATTTTCCCAGTGCAATGCTAAAAGTTTTTTCTTACTCCAATCCTGTACCAAATACTGATATCGGCTCTTTCTTAATCTCAAATATATTAAAAAGCAAGACTACCTCAACATGAACTGCTGTGGCTAGACAATCTAAGAAGTCAATCTACCTCTATTTCATCTTCCCTATTATTCAGTTATATATTGACAGTCCCTAGGGAAAAAAGAAATGGCAAAATAACTCAGAAGAGCCACCAGCCATGAAAGTGTTGTTTATCTTCAAGTAGCACCATTCCTTCTCAGAATATAAGAAGTTGACATACCCATAATACCAGCCTGTGTGAAACTATGCTGTGTAAATGCCTTGGATGAGCATTTGTACCAATTACACTTGTACCAGCCTGTTCCAGGGAAAAGGTTTTATTGTAATGCTGCAGCATAGCGTAAGTTTCAGAAACAATTTTGGGAAAACAAACATAAAAAATTCAAGCCTCTGTTGGAGTAGAAGGCAGGAAGGGGGGGAAAAAAAAAAAAAAAAAAAAAAAAAAAAGAGAGAGACCAAAAAAGCCTGATATTTGTTACATCAGAAAATTTACAATTGTACATAAAAAGACTAGAAGGCATTTATTCTAATAGCCTTGGATGTTCAATCCGTGTAATTGTCCAGTCTGGTTTTGCTCCTTCTGTAAATTCCCTTTGGAACCTGGAAAAGAAAGACAGTAAGCGAAGAGCTGTTAAAACTTACTTGGTCCTTAAAGAGCTACTAATATCAACAAGAAATCATGAAGAAATATTTTACTTCAAAGTTATTCCTGTAAAAGCTCCTTAGACTCTGATGCTTGTACCCCAAAATGGAAGATCAAAATTAATTCTATAGTAAGAAAAAGCACTGACTTCAGACTGTTTGGTTCAGATCCCACAGACAGGATCACGCAGCAACAGTAAAGGCCCCGATATCAAGCAAGCACTCAGTTTCGTAACAGCTTTGTGGCAGATCTTCATCTTTTAAAAAAGGGTTTCATTTAGCGAGATGGTAATTGCACTGTAAGGGGAATCACATGCTATGCATTCTACCTGAAAATTTTCGGTTTTACTGAACTATACTTAAAAAGTAATATATTTTTCAGAAATACATCAAAGATCAAGCTAACAGTAGCACTGAATCTCCCTGAAAGAGAACTCTGCAGTTGTTGATAGGAAAACGAAAAAGTCCTCAGCTGTTTTCGAAGAGTCTTCCTCTTCCTTGTTTAGTCATTCTTTCCTCCCGAGCATGTCAGTTTTGACTGCTTGTCACCTAAAGATAAGCTTCAAGATGAATACTCATGCTCCCAAGTAACCTGCACACTGTGGCCAAGAGCACAACGCAACTTCACTGCTTTGCAATTACATGCAAATCCACTCCTGGAAACTGTCTTCTCCAGACACCCAAATACTTAACACTAGGCTACCAAGGCCTGTAGTATCTGCCCGTTTGAGTTTAGATTAGCCTTGTAAATAGCAGAAGAAATGCATACTTGCAAAGACCTCTCTGCTGGGGATTAGAAAGATATTTAGGGCCTTAAGGGGAGGCTCTTGATGTTAATGGAGCTTCAGAAGCCTCCAACTCTAAGGAAGATGCTGAATTCAATTAAGGGATGGATCCACAAAAATCCATCCAGGCAAAAAGCACTGGTGCCCCTTTGTTTCAGAGCTCCTCATCAACTAGACCCCACAGTCTCTCCATTTCAAATGTGGATGTAGAAGTCATGGATTATATTGCATTTCTCACACAAAAATCCTCACTTTTCCCAACTTTTGAGAATGTTATTTTCAGTACATTTTGCCAATCATGTAGATATCACTGCACTGCTCTGACATCAGTGCACTAACACAAGGCATTATTTACAAGCATTCCTATGAAAACCCATCCACCTAATGTGGGCTTTGAGGGCTTGGATCAGAGTGGCATGAATTATCTGAGCACCAGGTGATGACTGCAGGTCTAACTTTTGTGTGGGAAGTGACAAGTCAACAGCACCACACTTGACTGCTTGGCGTGACTGCATTGCCGTTAGCTGCACTACAAGAAATGGGAAACAAGAACTGATACTGGCCTATTTCCTGAAAGCTGCATGAGCAGCATAGGAAAGGATCAGAAACTGCATTCCATGCTCCAACTATGGCTCTTCCTGATAGAGAAACAGTTCCCATTAACGTCAACTCAGAAGCAAGGTGACAACATAATGACTTTAAGCTGTATTTAAAAAATTTGTCCCTAGAATCAAAACTGAAAAGCTGGATGGGAACTAACTTAGAATCAAGGCAAATTAAAACTCTATATATAGAGTTCTGCACTGGCACAGTGTGAATGCTTTTGGTTCCCAAACCACTTTCCACACAGCTAGCCCATGCACATGGAGGAAAAAAAAGGGACAAGTAAACTTACTCATAGTTTGCTGTTAAAAGATGCCTTTTTTCCTTTGTGCTTTCATCTCCAAACACAATCTGGAAAACTTTGGTTTCACCTGGCACTTCATCAGGTAGGTTAGCACCATTCAGATACCAGAAACGCATGAGGATGCTAACAAACTTTCTTCCTGTTGGAAATAAATCAAAGCATCATAAGGTAGATCTCACGTTTCTCATTGGTCAAATACTCCTATTTGCTGCCTAGCATATATTCTAGTGAGACCCTAGAAGGGCAGCTGACTTCAGCCATAAAGAATGCATGGTAGAATAAGGAATGATAAAGCTTTTTAAAGCCAAATCCATGCTGTTCAGCAAGAATAAAAATACACTCTGTAGAAAGGTATGTATTTTATGAGTGTGTGTGTCGCTGTACATAATCAAACTGTATGAAAAAAAGCTGGTTAACACAACGTCCAAAGCCAACTACTGATACTACAAAAGCATCTAGAGTAGTTGAAACCCAGGAGTAATCCAAGAGAAAAAAAAAATCCCTATCTCCCAAAACAGGAAAAAAGCTCACTAGATCTGACAATTTGAAATGCTCATTGGAAGACCTATAGTTAGACTACAAATCATCTCAACTGTTTCTGATAGTGAACTAAGCACATAACGCTGGTATTCAACCAAAAGAAAAACTTGTTTGAGCTCATCACTAGCTTAAAAAAAATAAATCAAGAAGTCTTAGAACAAAGTATATTCCATGAAAACAGCATAGAAGTAAAGACAGCAAAATTTATTATTATAGGCATTATCCGGCCTTCTCTACTATTCTTAGAAGACATATTTTCATTGCCGAAGCTAACATCTTTCTGCATACAGTAGAACAATTGGTTTTGAGTGGTTTGACATTGCTAAGGACTAATAATGTAAAAATCTGAAATTACAAAAGAAGAGCAATAAGCAAAACCTAAACAGAAGTCAAAACAGTACCATGACTTATTAACAACAATCCCTTAGTTTCTGGTTTAAAAGGAAATTGAGGAATTATATAGAGATGAACTATAAACAGAAAAACAAGGAATGAGAAACAGTACTCAAAAACACATCTGCATGGAGAATGCCTGCTTAATAGCAAAACCATATAAATAAGACTGCCCATTGCTGAAGTATTTTTCAATTCTAAACATACCATCATCATCATAGTAAATGCGAACATCTCCTTCCATTGTGTACATGATTGCATCAATGTCAGCTGCTAAAGCATCCCTGTGGCTGTCAGGGAGCAAAGAAATCTTTTCCTTCAGCACCTGAAGTACCTAAATTCAGAAAAACTGTCATTTAGTTTTTCATTAGGAAATTAAAGTAACAATCTTTTCTACAGTAGTTAATAAAATGAGCTGTATCGCTAAAACATTTGTGTTACATAGACAATAGCCAAAGTAAAAAAGCACTGGGAAGTTTGGGCACTCCCAAACCCTAATTCAGCAATACTAAACAAGATCTATTTACTGCTCAAACCAATGAAAACCAAGTATTTTACAAAATGTTTAGGAAAGGTACTGTCAAAACAGAAGTTGCAGAGCAGGGCATGTAAGCCTAGAAAATACCAGTTAAGCTTGCTTCCACAATCATACTTACACTCTGCCTTCTCACTGCTGATTTTTCGCTATGCCTATATTCCTTAACTTTTGATTCAGTTACTTTTTAGTTATCTTTCAGAAATTTCTTTGAAATCAGTTCCATTGCTACTAAGTTTATCTTTGCCATTGTGATCCATATTCCCATTATAAAAAATATAAACACTTGCAAACCAGAAAAGACTGAAAAATCATTGCTCTGTGACTTAAGTTCCACACCACATTCACATCCATAGTATTTGAGTGTCCTAAGACCTACACAGCTGTGTTAAGAAGAAAAAGGCCATGGCGCATGAATGGAACAGAGACATCACCTCAAACACCACATGAGAAAGGCACGACACAAGGAAGGATAAAGCTATGCAGCTCTTATTTTTAACTCATACTCAGTTTTTAGCCTAACCTGAATTGCCATTTTTGAATAACAAACAAATCCAGAGGTCACATGGAAGCAAGAGACAATCTTCACTAGAAGACATTGGTTTCTAGTACATTTTGCAGGTATAAAATTCACTGGCCGAAGCAACAACGAAATAGTGTGGTATCACAGCCTTATCCACTACATGCTCTGGTTACATGAGGTCTCTAGATCAATATTAACCTAATCACCTGAAGAATTTAAGATGAGCAGAGGAAGAGGAGATGCTCTTTCAAAACAACTATAAGAAACAAACTCACATTTTATTGCTATGTCTGCTCAGAGAGAGAAGGCAAGATTGTCCAGTGGGGACGCACTAGAACAGCACCAAAATTTTTGCTGCAATGGCATGGGTGGCAATAGGGCAGGCCAAGCTGACATCCAGTAACAAGGCAGACATAGACCTGAAGTATCTCCTCCACTTGACTCTGATGCATCTGCTACCTCCGTCCCCTGGGAAGGCCAAGACAACTTCAGCGATAAAAAATTCACAAAAACACAGAACACATAGCACTGACGTTTAATCAGCCAGGTCAGCCATATCCCTGAGACCATGACACAAAACTGAGGCTGAAACCAGTCATTGGCTGTAAGATCTGCTTGAGGGTGGGAATGTGTTAGTGCAGCAGGGATGAGCGCAAACCAGCTCTTCTCCTCATCTGAATTCTCGTGCATAGACTGAAAGACCTACCTGCCTACACCAACAGAGGCATGCGATTCCACCTGCCATCCAGAACTCACTGCCTTTCCATCCTTTCTGGCACACCAGCAATCTTTTTGGCAAGTGGTCTTTATGCCTAATGGCAAGATTTATTTTTTTTTTTAAAAACAATAACTTTGAATTAAGTTTTATGCCTTGAAATTAAATATTAAAAAGCTGCAGGACAAACCCTTATTCTGCATTATGCTGTTTTTCCCAAATTAAACCAAACCGGCAGTATTTGTAGATGATGACAGGCTGAATGCATGTTACCTCATAACAGAGAATCAACTGCTAGTGTAAGAGATGGAAAGCATTTACCTCTGCTGATACAAGTTCATCCAGCAGGTCAAGTTTACGCTGAGACAGCAGCTTTGAAACAACAGAAAAGGCCTACCAAAAGAAGAGATAGAAATACATGCATGACTAACACTAGGTTAGCTTATATTTCAGACAATTCTAACATTATGTGACAAGCTACCCAAATATTTCATGATTTAAGATTTCAGTGTTTGCAGAGTGTATCACCATTGAAATGGAAGTCCTCCAGCATTAAAAAAGTGATTCCATGAACTGATATAAGGTTTCCAGTCTCTCATTTAAAGCATCAAACTTTTTGATAACAGGCAAGTGAATACATAGGTTACAAAAAAAAAAAAAAAAGGCATTAATCTATGGAAGCTGGTTTTACTCTTTGATAATTCAAACAGTCTATGTCTTTCCCTGTAAATATGTTGTTCCCCGCCCCTTTTCCCAGCTCATCTCCTGGTTTCAGCCAAAACAGAAGCTCCAGTTTATAAATTTTTTTTATAAATCTGGTTTGGTCTGTGAACTGCAGGAAACTTAACTCCTCTTTCCCCCTCAATTTTGCAGGTATGTTTACTTACAATAATGCCTCTACATATTCAAACAGTGCACTTGTGAAATGCAGACTGAGTGTTTAGGACTCTACAGCAAGTAAAAACGAACTTGAAAAAACTAGGGCACGGTAAAACAGGTGGTGCTACACACATGGCAACCAATTCAGTGTAGGGGTTTTTTTGTCTCTCTTGAATTGATCTTAAAAATTTTAACATTCTGTCTCCTATCACCTGCTGTGTTGTTTTGAGCTGGTTTTTTGTTTGTTTGTTTTAAAATTAAATACTATAACTGAAGTTTCATAGCAGGTAACTCTGTAATTTTTACACAATTAGCTTTGAGATCACCCCCTCTTTGACACATTCTCTTGATAAAGCTTATTGAGTTCATAAATTTGGAGAAACAAATATATACACCAGCTCTATGCCTGCGTAAGCATTGTCACTTTAGGAAAACCAGCTAAGGGGAAATACATTTCCCCTTAAAGTCCCTAAAGCATCTGGAAGGAGACCTTCCCTCATACTACTCTGGGGGATGGCTAAACCAGCTCATTCTAATTCTGGAAACTGGGAAAAGCACACAAGAGAGGTCTGAAGAAAATCACACCTCCGACTAGTCTCACTTCCTCCAGAAGCGAGGTACATGGAGCCGAAAGCGGGGAACTCCATCTATTTTACACACCACAAAACACAGGCGCTAAGACATCCGCGTGCGAACTAAACCCGGGCACCGCCGGGAGGCTCAGCGGGGTGCCGCGGCGGGCACAGCTGGGGCCCCGTTCCCCTCAGGCTGGCAGACAGGCCCTTCTTATCTCCCTGGGGCACCGGGCCGGGCCGGGTGACCGAGCCCCGCCGCCCGCTCGGCGCTCACCTGCTTGGCCCCGCGCGTGAACTCCTCGATGCTGAACTCCTGGTCGAAGTAGAGGCGGATGAGGAGGTAATAGAAGCGGGTGCGGAGCCAGGCGAAGGGGCTAGTGATCCTCACCACCACCACCCGTCGCTGCGGACCCTCGGCCTCCGGGCCTT